GAAATTACGAGCTAAATCTGCATATTTTTCAGCTTTGTGGATACATTCACAGATGTCGTATAAAAGAATTAGACGAAAAAAGGTATTAACTACGAAAATGCCATTCCAATGTTAATAAATTTACCTCGCCTGTATTCACTGTTATCTCGTGGGGCAAGAAACTTGACCCGGTGAAGCAATCCACCCAATCATCTGCAGATCAACAAGAACACAATATCAGATATTTATTCATTGTACGAAATTAATTCATTTAATTCATAGAATCTACGAGTAGTTACCAAATTCATATTAAAGCTATATCCATGGTAGTTAAAGTCCCGATTAAAATCCTAGGAGTTTACGATTTTACCCCACTCTACCTTGTTACATCTAGTGGAGACCTAATCCAAGCAAAATCCTTAAAATCATCAAGAGCTACGATTTTACTTTATTAATGTTAGGAGATGTTTCATATATGTAAAATTAGGCATTATAAATAATGTACAAGACAAGTACGATTCCACGATTTTGCGATTACAATTTTATAGCCCCACTTTCCATTTTACTTACAATCCCGATTTTGACTACCTTGCCTTAATTAGTTGATTTTAAGTGATTAGAAAAGTACAACAATCGAACAATTACAATACATTATAATAAAGAAACATAGTTAATAAACCCCATAGCTTCGAACTAAATGCACTTACAAAACGTTGACATTTATTACGCACTCTTCGATTTTAGAAACACGACATGAGTCCAACATTGTTTTTTTTTACCTAGTTTTTCTGCTCCGATTCTATTTCTTTGTTTTCTGTCTGAATTGATTTGGCGCGCAAGATTCGGTTTTTTTCCCTCCACGTAGGACTTGGCGGTTGCAGGTGGGGCCGACGAAGATAGCGGCGGCGGCGGCATTGGAGAAAAAGCCATGCTCGAAGATGCTTCGGGTTTATATTTTCTTGGCCTCCCCCTTTTCTTATTCTCCGAATGTGAAATCATTACAAGCGAACTTTCGGTCCTTTGTGCGACATGGTGGCTCGATGAAGCTCCAGACGATATTTTGTTCGAAGAATCCATAACGATTTCAAATTATTAAGATCTCAATGCTGCTAATCAAGAAACAAGAAACAAAAAAAAAACTAATAATCCTGCAAAGAATTTGATAATAAAGGGGTCAAAGATCTAGCAAAGGTAAACAGTAAAGATCATTTTTTTATTACAAAAATTCCCTAATCACGACCTAATCACAAGTATTACGGAAAACCCAGAAATTCAAACATCACAATCAGGCAAAATAAGTGAACCCGGCTTAAATTTACCAACCCTACATTAAAAATCACCATTTTCTTGAATGTTCAGACAACCTTTTACATTCAGACCAAAGAAAAAAAAAATTCAATCTTTCCTTGATCAAAACTAAGAAAAACTGAAAATAAATATTTTTCTACTCATTAAAAATCAAACCATGCAAAACCCCATACAAAAATAATAATAAATACATAAATAAATAAACACACCATATTTAACAACATATGGGGGAGAGAAGAAATTATACATACACAAATCTCTACGGTGCTCAATTCCCAACCTGAACGAACTGCAGCTGGTTTTCTTTTGTTAATTTAATTGGGAAGAAAATAAAAATAACAGAAGAAAATTAATTTAATTGTGTTTTCTAATCAAGAAAAACAAGAAAAAGAAATGTGAACAGGGATTTGAAATCAGGATTCAATTTCAAAAAGGGAGAAGAATTACTGGTACATTTAATCTGGCAAAAATGGGGGTAAAAAAATTTGAAGTTCTTGAATGTGAAAAATTTCTTTTTGAGAATTACAGATAATATTTTTCTATTTGAAGTAAAAAAATAATTCATGTAGGGGACCCAAAGTGATAGAGAGTGGATCTTTTGGTCAACCTCTTTTCTTTTGCTGCTGACCTGCCTTTTCTTTTTCTCCAGATGTTAAAGGTGAAAAATGAAATTGCCCTGGAAGTTGGTCTGAAATTACTAGTAATGCCACTGATGGTTTTTGGTGTGGTATAGGTTTTATATTTGTTTTAAGGATGAATTAGAATCTTGAAAGAGATTTATGCAGATTACACGTGGCACCTGACAGACATTCAACGTAGGGGGTTGACAGCAAATTCTGACAAAGAATAGGGTTTAAAAATTAAAAGTGAAAAATCCCTCATTAAAATTCCTTAATGATTTTACAAAGTCACTAATTTGTCTATTATATGCTACACCGAGTGATACACACACCCACATTGGTCTGTAGATAAACGATAAAAGATCACCCGATATAGTCTTCACTGAGTGTAGCATAAAAATAACCGTCACTGACTCAAAACAAAGGCTTAGAAAATGATTTAGGCATAATGTCAAAACCAGCTCTTCTCTCCTCATAAGAATAATCCACTACTTCTTCGTTACCGCGCACCACCCCCGGTGTGAAAGGGGTCGTAGCGGTTTGCATTGCGTTAGACACCGTTGGAGGAGTGGCCGGAGTTGGAACCGGCATCTTCGTCGGTGTTTTACACGCAGTGTGTGGGTCCTTGAACTCATTGATATTTGCATTCTGGTCCTCGAAGTTGCAGGAAATTATATTCGAGCATAGTGATGATATGGGAGAGAGAGCCTTACGCAGAGCCGACGGCCCGTTGCTACGCGTGCTGCTTGATGCATTTGTGGAGTGGTGTTTCATAGGGCCAACTGATGTGTTCTTCTTGCCTGTGTTAAGACAAAGATTAAATCAAAACATAATCGTGACATTAGATAATCCACCATTATGCAAAACAACTAGGGGTGTTAATCGTATAGATCCGATCGGAATTAGCATTTTTTGAAGAAAGAAAAAATCGATATTTTAGGAAGTAAAAAAATCGATATTTTTCAAAAATTGGAATGTAGACTCAGAAATCTTCGGATAAAAATTGGCGAAATTAAAAAAAAAAAAAAAAATTGATTCCAACCCGTAATATAAAATACATAATAGTAGTATAGTATCGATTTAAAATGTAATTTACTACGAAAAAAATTGCTCCAAAAACGAAGGACGGAACAAAATTTGAAAATTCCATTGCAATTTCCACCCATATGACTGAAACTGAATTTAAAAAAAGTTTCGGAATTTGATTTACCCGAAGAATGAGCCAAGAAGCCACTCTGGTGATGAATATTAGAAGTTTGCCGCTTTAGAGGATTATTATTCTTCATAAGCGTGTTTTGAAGAGCAGCCCCTCCTAATGAAAACCTCTTATTAGCAGCACCACCACCACCGCCGCCGCCAGTTGAAGGTCTATAGTTCTTGCTTCCACTCTTCGTTGGACTCGGTTTCGACCCGTATATGGCTTCTTGTTCTGTCATTAAATGCCCCTGGAGCTTCTTCTGATTCTAATGTGATAGTTATGATCAAGAATTATATTTAAATATTTATTAATATTTACTTTTCAGTAAGCCCACACATATTCAAAAGTAAATGTTAAAAAAAAAACAAAATTCTGCATACCCTCTGCTTTTGGCGCTCTTGTTCTTTCAAATGCTTCAACTCGCAGTACTGATCGACCATGGATCGAAGACCAACCTATATACGAAATAAACAAAAAAAAAAAAAAAGATAAAACCAAACTGAAGTTCAATTTGACAGTACGAGTTATATAATCGTGTCCACGAGAAGTGCTTACACCATCGTAAAGGAACTCGATTTTTCTTTCTTTCTCCCAAGCTTTTGCTTTTGATCTCAGTGTGTCCACCATTGCTATACAAATATACCCAGATCAGATTATTACACAATAATTGTAACTCGATAGTCCCACTTAAGAACCGGAAAAAAAAAAAAAAAAAAAAAAAGCCATATACCTGGAATTTTGTTGACAAGCAGACGAGCTTTCTCAGCACGCTTTAACATAAGATGAGTGCCTCTCCCAGCATTATAACGATTGTCGTCCTGCATTAGAAATACGCTTACATGTGAAGGTAAAATAAGTTAATTTAAATTAAATTAATAGTATTTGACCAACCCTATTGTACTCCTCCAGCCAACATTCCTCTTCACAAGCAGCCAACCATTTTTGAACCTTTTCAAGAATCTCTTTTCTGCTAAAAGCTTCGTCTTGAACCTTGGATATCTGAACTTCTAACTGTTCTAGAAGATCAGATGGACTTGTTGCCCCTACAAGATCGTAATGACATTAAGGAAGGAGTGGTGGAATTTGCAGGTTATTTCCGACTGTTCGTTATTTCCTAGAGTTTTTTTAAAAAAAATCCATATTTTTTTCATTTGTTTTTTCTCTTCAAAAAAGCTCTGTACCTGACTCAATAGATTCGACAGAAAGATCCATTCCAAGATTTCCTCCAACAACCATGTGTGCTCCTCGACAAATTTCCTCTAAAATCAATTTCTTTTTCAAAAGAACTTCCTTAATTTTTCTCGTTTTCATTTCTTGAAGCCTCATAACTTCTGCCTCAGCCTGAGAACACGAAACATCGTATACATATTACACGCAAAGTATGGAATTTGCATAAAAAGGGATTAAAGACAAGGAATGAGGAATAAACTTAATACTATTTTTCTTAAGGGAATATTCAGAAATTACATTATTGATGAACTCCAAAGATAGACTATTGGCTTCTGTTATTTCATTTTCTTCAAGAGCAAGTGTTCGTGTTACATTTTGAAACATCTGTTGCTCCTCAACTGGTGTGTCCATCAGATTCCAAAGCTCCGCCATTGCCATTGCAAGATCTTGAAGCTGAAAATGCAAAAGTTAGGGAAAAGGATAATTTATATATTTTTTGAAAAAAAAGAAAAGAAAAAGAACATGTGTACGTTTTGCATGCGCTGCAACTTAACATCCTTAAGCTTGCATATTGTACCGGATAATCTCTCTATTGTATTTTTACTTATACTTCTCGTGCCACGAGAGTCATCCAAACTTGGATGAACACCGCAAACTGTTAATTTGAAATCCATACCGAGCACCACACAAAGACCGTTAAGAACATTCAATTGATCATGCACATCCTTCAGGCGCTCACCCTGCATATATATATGTTACAGTTAATTTATATATATAAATTCAAAATCAACCTTCTAAATGCAATCATACAATATAGGCATACTGCCATAAACAAAATAGTCTCAACAATTTAACATCAAGAGTAAATCTAAGTGACAACAATTAGACGAACAAATGGAATACGAGAAAAGGCACCTTCTCTTTTTGCAAAATAAGCAACTGCTTTCGTAAATCATCTAATCTTTTCATGGACAAATCATTCTCATCAATAACCATTGGGCTAAGGTTCTCGTCCTTGGATCCTGAAAGCTCGTTAGAGATACTATTTATTTGTCTCAGAACCTCTGCAAATTGACCCTTCCTCTCGTTTTTTTTCTTTTTCATATCTTCTAATTGAGGCATAATCGCTTGAAGCTCTTTCTTCAAGCTCCCAGAACCCTGCTTCAGATAGCAAATAATACTTACAAATATTATAAAGTCTATATATAGTAAATATATCAATTTTTTTTTTGGGTCGTTTCTTGCACCTATTTTTACCTTCATTATATGAGCCGGTCGATCTCCCAAAGCAGAGCAAATGTCTGCCATCTGTGCTTCAGCATCTGCAACTGCTTGTCTCAACTGAACTCGAAAGCGGTTTGCATGATCAACTTTCCTTCTATATGCATCCAAACACTCTTGTTCGAGTTCAGAAAGCATCTTATCCCTTTCATTATCGACTTCTCCAACCTCATCCCATATTTTCTGATTTCAGCCACCATTAGCAAATAGAACAGAAAAAAATTATAATATGTATAAGGTCAATTTTTATTTTTTTATTTTTTTTTAAAAGCACATGCACATGAGAAAAGCTGTTAGCAAAGATCATCTATTCTCACCTGTAGCTCGGATAAAAGAGAACCACAATTGGTCGCCATTTGCGAGTGTCGATCAATACGGTGGCTACTATACATGTAAATCCAAGCCTTCTGCACCGAGACTGATCCAAAATATAAAATCAAATTATCCAAAAAAAAAAAAAAATAACAATATCCACTACTGAGAGAAAACATTTACACAGAGAGAATTCGAGAAGAAAGTACACAAACTAATCATGACGACATTGATCACAAAACCAACAAAAAATTCATTTATTTCAAACACACTATCATGAATCATCACAATTCGCAGCAAAAAAAATCAATTTTCTAAAAATTATAACTTGGTGACAAATAAATTGATTTCGACAAACAAAAAAAAAAAAAAAACAGAGAATAAGAGCATGCCTGAAATTGAAGCGCGTCTGATCAAAGTGGTGATTCCGTACTATCTTCCGAACTTGTTGGAGAATTAGCAGAGGGTTTGTTTTGGGGGAGACGATAGCTTATGTATACTGTGAATCTAAAAACCCTAGAAATGTAAGGGAAATTTGTAACGCTTGCTTTTTTTGAATCAAACTGTAATGAGAGGGAAATGAAATGATGATATGAAATTGAATGGAATTCTTTTTCTCTCTTTTATATGTTTATTAAAATTAAATTAAAATAACGTAAAGGAAGCGTACTGCGAGCGTCTTTGCCGTTAAAGCCTTTTGTGGGGTCCACACATTTGGTTTTGAATTTTCTAATTAGATTTTCTTTGTTTTAATTTAGGACAAATTACAAGGCCTGCCCTTCGGCCCCTTCCTGATCTAAGACTTAATTACGAAAAAAAATTTGCGCGATTACGATCACTCTTCTGAGGTATTATTCGTCTAACAAATTTACTCTCACAGAGTTAGTAATAACGGAATCAGGTAGATTCCATGGAATATCCATTTTATAATTTTATAAATCTTTTTTTTTTTTACTGTTAACTAGTCGTTTTTGTGTCAGAAGGGATTTTGTGCAAGGTTTTTACATGCATGAGGGGCCAAGTGTAAGAAAATTAAAAAAAAAAAAATTATGACCCGGTTTTTCTCTTCCATTTAATTATTTGAACACATGGATATTTTAGCAATTACAACATTCTAAAAGGGTTTTTTGCAGCCCGTTAGTTTTAGAGTGGTGCTCGTAATTACACAAACAAGGAGGTTGTTTTTGCAAATAGGTATTACCTCAGGTGGTGCTCGTAGTTATACAAACAAGGAGGGTATTTTAGCTTCAATGGTATATAATTCTTTCTTCCATTATGAGAAAAAAATCGAGACAATTCAAACTCTTTCGTGCATGTCTAATGTAATGGCCAGATATAAAGTTAATTTCTGAAAGAAAAAAAAATAAAATTATATCATCTTATCAATTCTGTTCTGTTTTGATCACCACTTACCAACCGTTCGATCATACATCGTCACTTGTCAACCGCTAGATCATCCAAACAGAATTACATTCGTGGATTCTCTCCACTTGATTGGATTTCAGACCCATCTTTGAAAAAAAAAGAGAGTGAACTTTCATACCGAATTGGGCCCTAAGCTTTATCAACAGCCAGATAGATGCGTTGCAACGCAAAAACCCCGTCCACAAAGATCTCTCATAAGAACACTAGACGAAACTAAATCAGAAATATTCAGCAGTATTAAATGTATATAGCCATGCAATTGTTTCTTAAATGAACCACCAAGGGAAAGATTCAAATTTCTCCACGTCAAAAACGCACATGAAATTTCTCCGCGCATTCCAGTGATATCCAGAACTTTGGGCACATCAACTGGGCTCTGTCTGGCATTGAGATTTTGATTTCTCCATGGAAGCATAGACTTCCAAGTTTACTGCCAAGAAACAGCAATGATGATGTCAGCTGATGACATCAGCACATTGCGGATACAAAAAAGCTAAAGTGTCCGAGCACATGAAACTTTACCTGCTAACATTCATAGATAGACGAAACCCTCATAACCAACGGCCAAAACCTTCAAGTAACGTTATCTTCACCATAATCAGATCAAGTCACTCATCATCAAAGAATATTTTCGTGTTGTTCGTTTACCCATGGAAAGCAGTGGTCCAATCCTGCATAAGTAGATGAGTGAATGAGCGATATGTTGTATATATGTGTGTGCGTGTGTGTGAGAGAGAGAGAGAGAGTGTGTGTATGTGTGAGAGAGAGAGAGAGAGAGAGAAAGAGAGTGTGTGTGTGTGTGTGTGAGAGAGAGAGAGAGAGAGAGAAAGAGAGTGTGTGTGTGCGTGTGTGTGTGAGAGAGAGAGAGAGAGAAAGAGAGTGTGTGTGTGTGTGTGTGGTGTGTGTGTGTGTGTGAGAGAGAGAGAGAGAGAGTGTGAGAGTGTGTGTGTGTGTGTGTGTGTGCGTGTGTGTGTGTCTGTGTGTGTGTGCGTGAGACATAGAGACAAAGAGAGAGAGAGAGACCATTTGTACACACTCGTCAAGATTTGAGCAATCACGAAAGACCAAAAAGCTGTGATCTCTTAAGTTCCACAGGCAACTCGATTTTCCGGGGGGGAGCTCATAAACAAAGCTTGCAGCATCATTTCAAATGGATTTCATCAAGAAGGTGCTAGTTTCTCAAATTCTCAGATTACATCGAGCAACCTGCCTCGACACCTGAAGCCACAACATGAAGCATGCTCTCAAATTGGATTAACACAACCCGCTAGTCTGCAAAAGAAAAAAAGAAAAAAAAAAGGCTATCAAACGAGTAGTATGGACAACTACACAACTTCAAAGAGATTCAGATTTTGAGCTACATCAATCATTTCAAAATCCACAAATATTTATTAAAAAAATCAAGTCCGAATATAACTTCTTAGAACCAAGTGCTTCATTTAAAATGAGCCACAACGAAAGATTGAGGAACACATTATTCAAATCGTAAAGAAAAAAACATAGCACATTGAAAAGAGAATGATATCTAATTAAGTAGCATCTCCATCTCACTCGATCTTAACAATAGATTAAAAAGCAAATCATATCTAGAAGTTCACATAACTGAACTGTGAAGTATTAAAAGAGCAACGATAATGCAGAATTGATTTCTAAGAAATTCGGATACTTCACCAGAATACAGAGTTATTTTGACACATGTAAGATGCAATTACCATTGTAAAAAATATACCATTATTTCGAGTCATTTACGTCGTATGTGATACATAAATGCCACATTGCTCTTGTTTTCGTCAGCATACAGTGAATGCAAGGAGACACACGTCAAGAATATGGTATGAGAGCCATATACAAACAAAAGCAGATACAGCGTGACAGGTGGACTCGTATGCAAATCTAAAGATTGTAAACAGCCTGCAATTATTATATAAGGGATGATAAAACCAGATTTCTACATACAGCATCTACAATTGCCAATTTGTTAGCGGTAAGTCACCAATATCATTTAATGGTATCAATTCCACCTGTCACTGCATTATAATCCACTATGCCACGTGATGTCTCTACTTTATATTCAATCCAGAAGCTGATTTATGCCTAGACACTCGAAACTCGTAAGTTTATTAGCCTTTTTACAGCTGGAACTAAAATTGAGAGCAAATTATGGCTGATAGTGTAAAAACATAGAAGACACATTTTAATGAGCGAGAACACAAAGCACATTGCTAAAAGCCAACTCATCAAATGTTGTCACACATTTATTACATATAGATAAGGTTTAAACTCAAAATCACATTACTAGGGGGAATACCTCTTCAGCATAGTTTTTACTTCTGTCTTTCAAAATCAAATTCATTATCCCGAACAGAATTAGTTTTTCAAATCGGATGACATCTTATGCAAAACTACTTGTGAATTGAAGTATGAGAAACCGAAAACATCTTGAATGAAAGGTAGGTTGAGTTGTTCCTTAAAAAGCAAAAAAATCTAAAGTAAGAGGTCAAAGAATATTATCGTTACTACTCAGTTAAAATGCAAACATAAGATGTCAAGTATATTTTGGAGTATTAGTAAATCAAATATAAAAGTGAATCACCAATAAGATCAGAACAATCTTAATTTATAATGCTAAAACATAGCCACT